GACAATCTAGATGTGAAAAGATATTGTTAGCTCATTGCTCAAATTAATGAAACTTAATGTTACCTTCTCACATTTTATAGGAGTTAGATCTGCCATTTTTAAAAATAGCGGCTCCTGAGATAGTATCAGGAGTGTCAGGTGAATCAGAAGAGAATATCAGAGACCTTTTTGAAAAAGCAGTGGTAAGTTACAGTCACATAAACTTATTGTTAGTTACATCCAGGCAGACAACACTTTGATACAGTGTAGGTTTCTCACAAGAGAAATATACACATAAACTGTGTGTTCGGTGGTAAATGAATATCAAATGATCATTCTGGCAATGTTGCAAGTTGTTGACTATATTTAGGCTTTGAAATCATCACATGTCCTCGCACCTGAAACTGGGATCTTTATTTCGACCAGTATCTTTCCTTCTTAACAATCCTACATTAGATGTTTTCATTTTCATGTTAATGTTCTGATGTTGCTTTTTTAAATCTGTACAAAAATGTATTTGCTAAGTTGGTCTTTCTGATGATTTTCAATGAAATCACCTTTCATAACCCTCAATCCAATACCCTTCAAAACATGAATTGGGCTGTCCATTCAACACATGGGGCAGGGGGTCAACTGAAGTGAAGTTAACTCCCAATTTTTTTGTGCAAAGCATACACTTTCAAATTTGTACTTGTTTTGTATCTGTAAATATCTGTAAACGATGAAACTGCCTTGTGTCAATAGACTAATAGACATCAGTGTGTGTTCCTCTAAATTGTGTTTTGGTAATGACAACATGCTTTTAAATGCCGTGTTTCAAATCACAGTGTTAAGTTATACAGTTTGTGCAATCACAGCATTTTGGGTAAAAAGTTATATTTTCAATTTCTTCTTGAAAATTGCAAGTCTGGTTTCTGTGATATTGTATAAATGTAGATATCTCAGATGGACGTCTGTTAGTTTTGTTCATTTCATCTTGATATCTTCAACAATTCTTATTTTCGATAAAAACAGAAATCCAAAAGTGTTGCAGACTAGCTTTAGTTGATACACAGGATGTCTGTGTTAAATACATATGAATGTAGATAATTGTATGTAAATTATTTCATTATTTGAATTAGTTATTTCATATACAGGGATTGTAACATTTATGTCTCATTTATTGTGATCATTCAGATAGGCTACAAATTGTTACATTGCCATCAGTGATTGTGTTAGCATTTTCATGTAGCGAGTCCCGAGGAGAAATGAACAGGAACTTGCAACATATTCTGTGTACAAATGGGACCTCTTTTTATACTAAAGTAGAGTTCCATATATCTCTAATATTAGAGCCCACAATGCAGGATATAGGGTTAACACAATCTCTGCTCCCGTCACAAATGTCATATATTGTTTAAAAGATATTTTCCCATGATTTTGTTGTCAAAATAACAGGAGAATATAACTTTATATTTAAATCTAGTTTCTGATATCATGAATGCTTGATGTGAATATCATTTATTAGGGTCAGCTATCAATTTGAAAATGTTTGTTGTTTTTCAAATGTAGCTCAGTGCGCCATGTATTGTATTTATTGATGAAATTGATGCAATTACACCGAAAAGAGAAACTGCACAAAGAGAAATGGAACGGAGAATAGTTGCTCAACTTCTTACATGTATGGATGGTAAGTACTTTGGTACACAGGGTACAATTTGTTCACTGTAAAGCTTTCCTCTTTCATGACATTTTTAACACAATGTTTGATATAATTGCATTGTAGAGTTGAGTACAAGTGCAGCTCAAGTGTTAGTTATAGGAGCAACTAATAGAGCTGATTCATTGGAGCCAGCACTACGAAGAGCTGGAAGATTTGACAGGGAAATATCCTTGGGTATACCTGATGAAGAATCAAGAAAAAGGTAAAAGAATAATGAAAACATATAATTTTGATATGAAATTATTATTATTGAGCAACTCCACCATTCATCAATCAATATATATCACATTAATTTGTATATATGTTTAATAGTGAAATAAAAAAACTTCATTCATTCATATGCAAATTAGTGTTTATCTTTGTTTCAATTCATCAAAATGATTAATCAAATGAGTATGACTCATTAGATTCCCTTTTTCAGAGATTATTAATTGATGTAATATGATCATAAGTCATGTTCTTTTGTTAAATTTGAACATTTTGAAGATTTGGCTACTTGAATGATTTGATAAATATGATTTTTACACGATCACAAGTTTTTATACCCTATTTATCATTGTCATTTGAGTGCGCATGTCTTAAATGTCTTAGCGTATTCTATTAATTTGCATACAGCAATGCCATTCGTGAGTGCATGAAATTGTTGGTATACAACAATAATATGTCTAAAAACTCTACTACATCCATGGGCAGTTTATGCTTTGCCACATGTGTCTCTAAGAGGTGTTTATCATGTTTACCGTATGTTTTGTTTTTCAGAATTATGCAAGTATTATGTAAAAGTTTAAAATTGTCAGAGGATTTTGATTTTAGTTTTCTGGCATCACAAACACCTGGTTATGTAGGAGCAGATCTCATGTCGCTTTGCAGAGAAGCTGCTATGTGTGCAGTTAACAGGTAAAATCCATGTTAATTTTTCAAAGTGCTATTCACTGAACCATCCATAATAAATGAATATAACTAAATTTAAGCCCTGCCCTATCCCTGCCATGATTCAATCAGTGATGTTTTATAAGTCAAGTGAAGCATTACAACTGAATTAAATTTTTTTTATCTTCAGACAAAACTGAAAAGTTGTGAAGAAATTAATTTTGTTTCATAAAAACATAATGCATTATTAATACCAACATTCAATCTGATGTGCATGCTTATAACCATGGTAACGGTAGTTCAAAAACTAGACATATGCAAGTCACTGTGTTTATATTTTCAATGATTATTGTATGGCACTCAGAAGCTCTTCTTCAAGTCTTTTCTCATGTAGTTATTTTTTCTGTTATCGTCAGAACAGTGCTGCCCATATAATGTGTTCAGCCGTCCTGTTGACATCGTCATAGATGAGCTGTCATCTGTAAAAATTCATCAGGATCTTACACTGTGATAATTTATGAATGTTGCAACTTTTAAATTCAGTATGTTTCATCAAAGTGTTGAAGAGAATATAACTTTAAATACTGTGAAATACTTTATTTTCGTTGAAATTATTTTTTGCTGAAAAGACGTTTTGGGTGTTTTGTATGGAATTTATTTTCACTGATTTTTGATGAGTTTAATGTAAAATATAGGAAAAAAGTATATTCGCTGGATTTTATTTTCACTGAATCATTTCTTCAGCGAAAATAGCGAAAATTAATTCCAAGCAAAAGTAAAGTATTTTACAGTAATACATAATAAAAACATGCTGTAGAATTGATTGAATTGAGACTTGAGATTACCGATAATTTCTCTTCATATTCATTTAGGGCATTTGATAAGCTAGAAAGTAAACAAGATTCATCGGTCAGTGTTGTTGATGAAAACGCCAGTGATAAGGATGTTAAATCAGGTATGTCACACTGATCCTATTCAATCTCTAGGATACAATCACAATCCTATCGTAAAATCAGCGAACACATATTCAGCTTAATCTAAATTTGATTTTGTTTCAGTTCTTTCTTGGTTAAGGGGCCAACCTCCATTGACTGAGGAGCAACTGCAGGATCTTTATATTAATATAGATGACTTTAAAGTAAGTGAATCTGATATTTGCATTATCAGGTCTAGCTATAGCTCTGATATTAGCTGTATACTGTAGCTAACATGTAATGTAGCTAATTTTAAAAGAATGTTTATCCTTACAATGTAATTGTAAGTTGTTACTTTAGCTTAATTTCAGCAATAAGTCAAAAATCACTAAAAATGTTATATGACATCGATATGATATTTCGTAATTTAGCCTTTTTTACACACATTTCAGAAAGATCTGACGAGATAAAAAAAAAAACCATCCCTGAATAGCAAGGCAAACATTTATGAGGGGCGTTCAATAAGTAATGCCACTGATCTATTTCCCATAGCAGGAGATTAATGAAACTTGGCACAGTTATTAGTCATTCTCTACATAGGAACCACCCAGAGTTATGCATTTCTCCCATCGTTTGATGCAGCTCTGGACACCGTTTTTTGTAGAACACCCTAGGCTGGTCCTCCAACCCAGTCGTAACTTCAGAAATTAAGGCTGCCTTATCTGGGAAACGCTTTCCTTTCAAAAACAACTTCATGGCTGGGAAGAGATTAAAGTCACATGGTGCAAGGTCAGGAGAGTAAGGGGGATGGGGGAGAATTTCATAGCCATGCTTCTGATTTGGCGACATGCGAGTTGTGGACCAGAGTATTGTCCTGCAGGAGGAGGATGCCTTTGCTGATCTTGCCTCGCCTCTTGATTTTGATAGCTTCTCTTAATTTCATCAAAAGTGAAGCGTAATAAGCTCCTGTAATTGTGGTCCCCTTTGCCAGGAAATCTGTCATCACTACTTCGTCCTGTTCCCAGAAGACTGTGAGCATGACCTTGTCAGCGGAGGGCTGCACCCTTGCCTTCTTTAGAAGTGGTGAGTCCAAGTGCTTCCATTGCATTGACTGGGCTTTGGTCTCTGGATCATAGTGATGGACCTAAGTTTCATCCTGTGTAATCAGTCTTTTGAAAAACTTTGACTCATCTTCTTGGCACATTTCCAAATTCATCCTCAAGCACTTGACGCGTTGTTGCTTCTGGAAAGGTGAGAGCAACCTTGGAATCCTTCTGGCAGACACCTTATGCATATGCAAATGGTCATGAATGATAGTTTCCACAGACCCTGTACTAATCTTGACTTTTTGGGCCATTTGGCGAACAGTAATGCATTGATCTCCCAAAATGGCTGCCTCAACTTGATGGACAGATGCCTCATCAATGGCAGAATAGAGACGACCAGGTCTTTTGGCCATGTTTGAATTCACGATGCCAGTGTTGTACAAGGTCATATGATGGAGCATCATCACCATAAATTTCTTTCCTTTCATCAAAAGTCTCCTTTGGTGTGCTTCCTTTCAAATTCAAAAAAACGGATCACTGTGCAATTCAACTGGCTCCATTTTACACCTGACTCAGTTCAAACACCTGTAAATCAGAAACCACAATTAGTTCAGATCTGTTTTTTGCAACATAACCCATAGAGATGTAAATCATTTCTTCTAGATCCGACAACTGGAAGTGGGTCAGGGGCACGCCCCTCGTATTCTAACTACTGTATACATTTTGAACTGCACCACTTCATGGCATGCTTTGATGCACCACAATTCCTACATTTGCATACCAGTGATGCTATGTTTATACCGCTAATAATTTGCACTTCAAAAGACTGTATACTATTAGTCATTAATGTAAGGATTGACTAAAAATTTCATCTTGTAGGAAGCTTTACCACTTGTTCAGCCATCTGCAAAACGTGAAGGATTTGTGACAATACCTGATGTTACTTGGAATGACATTGGAGCATTGGAAGCAGTTAGAGATGAACTCTCCATGGCTATACTTGTATGTATATCTAAATAACTATTAATGTCCTGAATTACTCCAGTGAGAACCTTCTTGTAAGATATTATTAAGACATCTGTCATAATATTGAAATTCTCTTGGAAATAATGTTTAAAAACTATCGTAAAAACTGAAAATGGAATCCCCCAAAAATTATTTTCATACAATTACCAGAAAATCCTATAGGATTATTATTGAAATCCCATAGAAATAGTATTGAGCTGCTATATGTAATACCATTGTATCATGTATGAAGAATAGCCTGTACAACTACTATAGGAATCATTTTGAAAATAGAGTTGTTATGGTTACAGGCTCCTGTTAGAAATCCTGTTGCATTCAAGGCACTTGGTTTAAACAACCCTCCTGGGATACTCTTAGCAGGACCACCTGGTTGTGGTAAAACACTTCTAGCTAAAGCTATAGCTAATGAATCAGGGATCAATTTTATATCTGTCAAAGGGCCAGAACTTTTGAATATGGTGAGTCATTATTTTGTTTCTTTATCTTTCAAGACACATTGCAATTTAAACACTGGACCCAATTGTAGTTCCCAAACAGTAGTCCAAAAATAGGTATGTCAACAGACCTGATTAGATTTTCATTAAAATTTATACATATTAATGATATAATTTGCCTTTGATTAAGTAATTTTTACCTATTCTAGGTATCACAAGAACATTTCAATGGAGTTTGGGCCATACATGTAGATGCTTTGTTTTTGAGTGCAATATTTGGCAAGATATTACCTCATTTCTGAACATTTTTAATATATTGTGAAGTTTAAGTTTTTTTATACCAGGCTAATATTAATTTTATTTAACATGTTTATTGTTTATAACTTTCACTCTCAGTACAAACCGTATTTTGTGAAAGGTTTACCTTGAATGAAGGTTTATCACAGATTCAAATCGCTATTGGTCTATAGAAGGTGTGGTTATGCTACCTCTTTCAGTACACACAGTGACACTAACGCATGATGTGATCGATATCAGCTGGTTGAGTTGATTAGTTCTATTTTACTATAAATAAACAAAAAGCAGAGTTTCTTGAAATTTGGAACATAGTTACACAATTATAAATGCAAAATTTAGAAGTTACTTTTTTTCGTATTGAAAAACTGTTGATGAATGTAATCCTGATGTAGCTTTGGTAATAATGGGACGTCTTTATTTGTTTCACTATAACTTAAATAATGAATGTAATGTATATTGCAAAATTTGAATTCGTACAAAACCACATGTGACAAAACCCGCTGTTATTGTTAACCCCAGTGATCATAGACGTACTAGAGTCCCATTTCCATTCCATATACATTTTGTACATTGCGTTATTTTCAAAGTACACTGTATCACCACATACACACACTATGGACCTACAAACCCAAGTCTATAACTGAACACAGTATAAATTTCATTTCAAACTTTCAACTTGGGGTTGTATTTCCTACTTTGTGCAATTTCACTTTTGCAAACACAATTTTCATTGTTTTTGTTGACCTTTGAGCTTTTGTTCCGAAAATGTGCCCAGGTGCTGTGAGGCACACAGGAACATGTTTTCAGTGTACGAAGGCCCTTGCAATTTTTCTCCTGTAGTTATATAACTATTTTTCCCTTTGAGTTATAATTCAGACATGCTTACATACATACATACATACGACACTGAATGCCCTGCATAGTTATTTGCAGGTTTTGATGAAATTGATGGTGGCAATTTTCATCCAAAAAAAAAAAAAATTAAAATGACATATCTTGTAGAAGGTGTAGGAAGCACACTTACTGTCAAATTGTCAGTTTATGTATATTACAATTACTTAGCTGAGATCTACTTATTATTGACTATTTAAATTTTGATACTAAACACTGTATATGCACTAAAATGCAATTGATACATGTAGGCAAGGCTTAGGTAGTTTCTCTATGTTTTAAAAAAAGAATGTTATTTTCTAGTACGTGGGTGAGAGTGAAAGAGCTGTTAGACAGTGTTTCCAAAGAGCAAGGAATTCAGCACCATGTGTTATATTCTTTGATGAATTAGATGCTCTATGTCCCAGAAGAGCTAATGTTTCTGAGGTAAGTACATGCAGCAGGGCATAGCATTCTGACTCACTGAATTGACATGAGTTGTAAACGGAAATGTGGGATTGTTGTCTATATTTCTATGATTTGGTATGGTACAAGGTTGTAAAGTCATGGCAATGCAAAACTGGATATGCTACATTATTGTGTAAGTGAAATTTAGAACTGTCCACCAAGATGTGGTATATACTTGCATACTTATCATACCAGGACTGACTGCTACAATGGTTCATTTTTCAGTCTGGCTCCAGTGCCCGTGTAGTTAATCAATTATTAACTGAAATGGATGGACTAGAAAGCAGAAAACAAGTTTTTATAATGGGTGCGACTAATAGGCCAGATATAATAGACCCAGCTGTACTCAGACCTGGACGACTTGACAAGATACTTTATGTGGGTATACCAAGTCAGGAGGATAGGATTAAAATATTGACAACTATTACTAAGGTAAGAATTTAGTTTGTTTTCTGTAAAACCAGATATCCTTGAAATATAGCAAGATATCTCTGATAATGTAGTGAATGTGTGTAAGATATCTCTGATAATGTAGTGAATGTGTGTAAGATATCTCTGATAATATAGTGAATGTGTGTAAGATATCTCTGATAATATAGTGAATGTGTGTAAGATATCTCTGATAATACATGTATAGTAAACTCATGTAAGATATCTCTGATAATATAGTGAATGTGTGTAAGATATCTCTGATAATACATGTATAGTAAACTCATGTAAGATATCTCTGATAATATAGTGAATGTGTGTAAGATATCTCTGATAATACATGTATAGCAAACTCATGTAAGATATCTCTGATAATATAGTGAATGTGTGTAAGATATCTCTGATAATATAGTGAATGTGTGTAAGATATCTCTGATAATACATGTATAGTAAACTCATGTAAGATATCTCTGATAATATAGTGAATGTGTGTAAGATATCTCTGATAATACATGTATAGCAAACTCATGTAAGATATCTCTGATAATATAGTGAATGTGTGTAAGATATCTCTGATAATACATGTATAGTAAACTCATGTAAGATATCTCTGATAATATAGTGAATGTGTGTAAGATATCTCTGATAATACACGTATAGCAAACTCATGTAAGATATCTCTGATAATATAGTGAATGTGTGTAAGATATCTGTGATAATACATGTATAGTAAACTCATGTAAGATATCTCTGATAATATAGTGAATGTGTGTAAGATATCTCTGATAATACATGTATAGCAAACTCATGTAAGATATCTCTGATAATATAGTGAATGTGTGTAAGATATCTCTGATAATACATGTATAGCCCAACTCATGTAAGATTTTTCTAAACATTGCTTATAATGTATTACAGAATGGAACCAAACCATGCTTAGCTGCTAATGTTCATATTGTGAATATAGCAGAAGATTCTCGATGTGAAGGATTTACGTAAGTGAATTAAAAATCCTTTTGGTGAAATTATAAGGTTAACCATGATTATTTTATCCTGAGGGTACTCGCCTGTATTGTTGGGGGGATACTCTACAGCCATTTGAAAACTAACCCAAAACATTCAATACTGGATGTGCTTTTGGCTGAAATGCCCAAAAAACTTTTTTTTAACCTCAAAATGCCCCATTTTATGTTAAATTGGTTATAACTGTCAAAACAAGCCATTAAAAATGAGCAGCTGGATCTCAAAAACAGAGGTCAAAACTGTTGTGCCTTACCTACAGACCTTTTCAGTAATTTATCTATGGGGTAGCATATTTTATACGATGACGTATGATCTATGACTTTATTGATACAAGTGTATTTCATATTTTGCACATACACTCACTTCTATTTGTGTCAATATCTCTACAGTGGAGCTGACTTGGCAGCCCTCGTCAGGGAGGCATCTATGTCTGCATTGAAGAAAATACTATCTACAGTAACCACCGACACACCCAGTAATCCAGCATCCACATTAATAGAGGTTGATAACACCGATTTTGATATTGCATTTACGAAAGTGAAACCCTCAGTTTCTGTTACGGTATGTGATACATAATCAGAATGAATGTCTACGACATCATAGGTTGTGAGAGATAAATGATATGGTCACTAAATATACACTATGCCTGCTTACATACATGTATACTAACAGATTATACTGTATATGCCCAAGGCAAAAGCGTTAGATCAATGATCCGCTCTACTTTGTAAGGTTTGTTGAGTACCGTAATAGTAAAGTAAGTGTACAAAGGTTGCCATGGGTAACTAAAAAAGGTAGAATGAATTTTATTTACCCTTTCATTTCTTTATCGATTTGACGCATGAGATTATCATGATTGCATGCAGGAGAAAGTACTATAAAATAGGCAGGGTATGACAGTGCATGTTATTTATCAGGGACAGTTTAATGCCAAATAAATAATAAATTTCCCATGTACATACTGAAAACTTTGCTTGATCAAGACTATTCTTCAAGTGTTTACACCCTGGCATTGGCAGTAAAAAATAACTTATTTTTTTGAGTTGGTTACAGTACTGTAATGGTATATCATTTCTATCTCCGGTAAGATTATTTGATCTGTCAAGGGACTAACCTTGAATAGGTACAGCTATGCATCTAGTAATAACAAGTCATTGAAAATGACACAGTCCCCGTTAAATTTTTGAAAGTTCTCTTTGTGCTCGTCATATTCAAGTGGAGGGATCGTCGCGAGCGTGTTCTTGAAACTTGAGTTCCAAGTGGCGTATACAACAGATTGTTTATTTACATCAAAACACGTGTTCTGTGTAGTAGTAATATGGCCAAATATAAAAACAGCCGTTATTCGGCCATCTTTGATCTGATTACGAAACACACTCATATGTATGATGTATGTGCCAAATACGAGTGAAAATGGTACATAAATTGTGGAAATATAGTAGTAATGCCAAAAAGTCAGATGGCTGTCAATCAGCCATCCTTGACCAGATTTTGAAACAAATTGTCATGGACATGCATCCTAACATGTATAAAGTACATGTATGTGCCAAATTTGAATGAAAACTGACAGAGCACGTCCAAGATACCCCATATAAAAAAAACAAGATGCCTGCCAGTTGACCATCTTTGATATAATTACGAAATAAATCGTCATGGACATGTATAATCTATGTACCAATGACAACTGACAAAGCATGTCCAAAATACAACATTTTCAAAAAACAAGATGGCTGCTAGTCGGCCATTTTGAATCAAATCGCCAAACCACTGCATGTGCATATGTCCCACATAAGGTACTAGGCACATGCAAAGAATGAACGGAATTGGTCAACAGGATTCTGAAATATGACTCTGGACAGACTGACTCACGGACGGTCGGGGACATGTATCCTAACATGTATGATCTATGTACTAAATTTGAATGAAAACTGAAAAAGCATGTCCAAAATACAACATTTTCAAGATGGCTGCCAGTCGGCCATTTTGAATCGAATCCACATAAGGTACTAGACACATGCAAAGAATGAACGGAATCGGTCCACATGATTCTGGACGGACGGACGGACACCGAATTATAAGTCCCTTCGAACGAGGACTAACAATGTATCATGAAAAATAATCGCACAGCTGTGATGATTAAAGTTTCTGGAATGGTTTTAAATAATTTAACATGTTGTGTATCTTGTTTTTTGGTTGCAAGCGTGCACTATAATGAGAAAAAGTGCTTGGTATACGTGAACAGAAAATCGCTGGTCACATGTTCTATATGGCAAACACCTATTGGTCAGCTAGAAACTTGTCCTACTCAGTCTATTTATCATGAAGAGCAGGTTAAAAGCATCCCACATTTGAGCGTTTTCAAAAAAGTGCTCGGTCATGGATATACATACATATTCAAAAACTCAGACCAACCAATACATGTCTCATCACTGTGTGTAGATCTGCTTTTTCATTTCTGGCTGCAATGTTACTAATACAATTTTTGAAGCCAAGGAAGCAGTATGTCTTGTACTGTGACCCATAAGCACTTTTGCCTCCCACCTTTGGCCTGCCCACACATATTAAATGACATATCACACTACTGAATATACACCACTCTTTCCCATTCATACTGACAGTTCAAATTGTAACAGATCACACTACTGAATATACACCACTCTTTCCCATTCATACTGACAGTTCAAATTGTAACAGATCACACTACTGAATATACACCACTCTTTCCCATTCATACTGACAGTTCAAATTCTAACAGATCACACTACTGAATATACACCACTCTTTCCCATTCATACTGACAGTTCAAATTCTAACAGATCACACTACTGAATATACACCACTCTTTCCCATTCATACTGACAGTTCAAATTGTAATTTGTTTTTTGAACAGGATAAGAAAATGTACGAGAAGATGAAGTGTGCATGAATATCATCGTAATTTTAAAAACAGGATTGAGATCGTCAACTACAATAGATAGTTGTTTTCAAGAATATGATGACAAATAAAACCTTGCCCTGTGGCATTGTCTACATTTACATTTTCACAATAACTTTGTATTGTAGTTTACAAATGTCCCATCTGAAGTATAAATAAACAAGACATTGTCAATGACATAGTGACTGACAATTTATTATGTTTAAATGAGTTGAGAGTATTCAGCATGTGAAAAATATGTCAACTTACGCAGGTTTTGTTCAATGCGACACCTGCTAGGAACATTTTCATATCGTATTTGGACATTTTGTGCATGAACAAAAGGCACACAAAAAATAATACCAACCCACCATGAGTGATGTTCAGTGGAGGGAGTGTCAATTTTCTATTTCACCTGACCCAAATTATAGGAAATTAAAAGATTTTCCTACTTGGAAAGATGTAAATTTTAACACTTAATCATATTTTTGTGGTGCGTCAGATGATCCACTTAAGAATTATGAATAGTAACTTAGAGTACCTTTCATACACAAGAACTCCTTCGGCCAATACAATAATTTGAAATGTGTGGCACTAACGTACACTTGTATTCTCATTAGGCCAAAAAACAAACAAACTTATGTTGCCCTCAAGTTGGATCGGCTGGAATTTTTTTTTCTTTCTTAAACTCGTGAAAACTAAGGGCATTGTAAATAGCCGAGGTATATGGACTTCATAGTATTTGGAATATGTCAGAGAAATACAGATCAACCCCTGGGATTAAAAAACGGTCCGGGATCGTTAATTTTTAGAAGAAACATTTTTTTACTGCTTAAAATAGTGAGCTTTTTTATTAAAAAAACGCGACCCGATATTTCATAATTTTCGGTCAGTTGCTGAGGGCAACAAAACAATTTTTTTGGGCCTTATAATGAATTTCATGACATACAATATCATTGGTATCATCCATTGTTATGTAAATATATTGATCAAGATTCACAGTGACTGAATAATCAAACATTATTTGTAACATGGTATTCTCAGATAGTCTACAAATGAGCTGTAGTTTGAGCCATTTGATCACCTAACAAATGTGAATATGTTTAACATTGCTTATTTATAGAGTTTGAAGATATAGCCATGGGACCATATTCCTTGAAACTTGATCTTAAAATACAAAATGATGTGCAGCAATAACAATGGCCGTCATTCAGTTGAAATTCAAAAAAACAAATGGAGATACACAATGTATGTGTGGAGTTTGAAAGTGATTGGTCTTCAGTGCCTGTGGTTTGTACTAAAATATATTTGTTGGCGAGTTTGGTCAATTGAAAATGTGCATATTACCTACAATACCTCTATCAGACCTTTGGGTAAATTTGACATTCTGATCACACATTGCAAAAGTTTTAGTTGAATCAATGATCAAATCATTAAGAATTCTGCAGTCCTGGCATGTTCAACATGCAAGTTCCCATTTTTGTTGCACAGGAACTAATGACATGGTGCAATTGCAGTTTTTTTTGGGTTGAAAAACAAATTGATATGTATACCAGGGAAAAATGGGTAGAGAACAAACTACTCTGCCATTTTGAATCAGTTGAGGGTCAAAAGAAGAAAAAAAAATGACATGTATGCGTCTTGAATTATGCCTTGTCACTAAAAAAAAAAATGTCCAGGCATGTCCAAGAAATGACATTAGATGAATGCACGTTCCCAAAACACAAGTTAGACCTGTATTGGATACCCTACCAAATAATTTGTTCATTTTCCTTATTCACATTGCAAACTTGTATAAATTTGTTTTGATTTATTTATTTCTTGGTTAATACATTTTATAAGTGGCTATTAAAATCAAAAACTTAGAAAGAACTCCTGTGTGCTTAAGCTAGTTGAGGCATCAAGTACAAATAGATAATATTTAAAATCAGCCCTGGTTGGCTGATATACCTCTGCTCTTTGAGATGCACAGTGTGACACTGTATTGAAGTTTATAAAACAGAAAGCTATGATGAATGAATAAATTGTATTGTTCATTTTAGAGCACCTATGTATCAAGATTGATTTAAAATCTTATTCCAGGTAAGTGGTTATTGAGATATCTAATTTATCAATGGATTTTAATCATTGATCAGGTCTGTAGTTTTGCAAGTTTCATTGAAATCTGTTGAACAGCTAAAAATAAATATGAGAGCACTCAATTTGCTTACATGGAGATCCCCAAAACAATATACGTACGGTACCAAGTTTCATTGAAATCTGATGAGTAGATATTGAGATATCTGTGAAAGGCTAAAACTTTGGGTTCCTTAACAGATGTGGATACGTAACTACCATTTAAATTTGATGAATGGTACTGGAAATATTTGTTAAGTATCTAAAAATTGGGTAATTATTATGCATATTTAATATTCGTGACTTTAGACCAAAGAACTGTCTGGGTCTGTTATTCTAGACCACATATGTAACAATTTTTATTGAAATCAAAAAAGTAAAAAGCTGAAAATTTTTGAGTGGTTCTTCAAATATCAGTAGAACATTGTGTTCTCTACAAACAAAAATAAAAAAAAAAAACACTAAATATATAATAAGGCAATTTCAGCACAATTCTATTTTAAGAATGTGAAAACCGAACATACCAGTATATAAGAGAGCAAACTCCACAAGTGCCCAAGTTTGATGCAATTAAATATACATTTCTAGTTTGGTCACAATGTAGGAATAAAAGTAGCTGTACTTAATATGAATTAAAAAGAGAAAATAAAACATTTAGTAGAATTCAACAGCACAGCTAATTTACTATTGTACATGTACTACCGAATAAATAAAGTGTATGAAAATCTTATTCAGATGGAGCAGTACAAAAACAGAAATCTTTTGAGAAAACTGTATAACAGTATCTAATCACTGATGATTAAAACGATCAGTGGCAAAACAGGTCTACAACAATCAGCATAGATGTCAAAATGTCTAGCAGGTTTACAAAAATCAGCATGATGTCAAAATGTCCAGTAGGTCTACAACAATCAGCATGGATGTCAAAATGTCTAGCAGGTCTACAACAATCAGCATGGATGTCAAAATGTACAGTAGGTCTACAACAATCAGCATGGATGTCAAAATGTCCAGTAGGTCTACAACAATCAGCATGGATGTCCAGTAGGTCTACAACAATCAGCATGGATGTCAAAATGTCCAGTAGGTCTACAACAATCAGCATGGATGTCAAAATGTCTAGCAGGATGTCAAAATGTCCAGTTGGTCCACAACAATCAGCATGGATGTCATAATGTCCAGTAGGTCTACAACAATCTGCATGGAACAATCAGCATGGATGTCAAAATGTCTAGTAGGTCTACAACAATCAGCATGGATGTCAAAATGTCTAGTAGGTCTACAACAATCAGCATGGATGTCAAAAAGTCCAGCAGGTCTACAAAAATCAGCATGGATGTCAAAATGTCCAGTAGGTCTACAACAATCAGCATGGATGTCAAAATGTCCAGTAGGTCTACAACAATCAGCATGGATGTCAAAATGTCCAGTAGGGGTACAACAATCAGCATGGATGTCAAAATGTCCAGTAGGTCTACAACAATCAGCATGGATGTCAAAATGTCTAGCAGGA